TAACTAGATAATAAAGCTTACTTTTATAGAATTCATATATAATAACTTTAATTATTTAATAATAGAAATATTTCTATTCTATATATTATATAGATTCTATTCTAGTATAAAACTATATATTAAGAATAATATTCTAGAAAGAGAAGTACTAGTAATATAGGAAAGAGTATAAAGAATTTAAATAGAATAGGAAATACTAGAAAAGTAATAGTAAAAAGTAATAGATATATAGAAAAAGTATTATAATAAGAAATATATTAATAAAGAATTCAAGATATATAATAAAGTTATACTTTATATAAAGAATATTTAATAGCTATAACCTAGTATAAAGCTAGTAAATAGATATCTTAGCCCCTTTAAAGTTCTAGAAATTATAGGAATATATAAATAGATATATTACTTGAAATTACTACTATTATATTAAATTTATAATATTTTCTATATTTCTTTTTTGGAACTATAATACCTGCAAGCTAGTACTATAGTAGAACTAGAGCCGGTTAAGATTAAAGGCAAAAAGAAATTCGAGATAGAATTTATTATAACTTATAGGAAAAATAGAAAAAGAAAGAAGTATTTCGTTTATTAGAAAGGCTATTTACTAGTAAATAATATATAAGAACTACTAAGTAATCTAGAAAATATAGCTTAAGAATTATAAGAATATTTAGAAAAGAGTAATATTATAATACTATTAGCTAAATAGAGATATAAAAAATAAATACTTTTATTAGGAAACTATTAAAAAACTATATATTTATTCTTAGAAAAACTATATGAAAATTATTAAAAACTCTAATTTCTATATCCTATAAATACTCTATTCTTATAATTACTTTTTACTATTTTTATTATTATTTTTATCGGGATTCTTTTAAGAAATAAATAGTAAATTAGCCCAGAAAACTATTAGCTATTAGTAAGAAATAAGAAGGAAATAAGCTTACTTAATATTAAAAAATATTAACTATATCTTTAAAAGTACTTTATATTTATATTAAGCTAATAAGAATTACTTAATTTATTTCTTAGATTATTAGGGAAATCTATTAGCCTCGAATAATAGCTTTAATATAAGAAGTATATATAGTTTAATATAAATAAAGGGCTATAATAGCCTTTTTTCTTTCGGGTAAAGGTTAGGCAAGATACTTATATATATTAATAGCTTAGAAAAGGTAATTTAATTATACTATATATATTTAAGGAATCTTAGATAGTATTAGAATAGAGAATAAAAGAAGGAAATTATAACTTATAAGATTATATTTCTTATTCTTGGAATAGTAGTAATTATATACTAAGTAATTATTACTCTTAATATAAATAAGATTAGGAAACTTAGTAATATTCTTGGAATATTAAAGATAATAAGGGCAAATTAAGAATATAGGAGTATTAGCCAAATAGTTAGTAATAGGCTAATAAGTACTAAGAGAAGAATTTATCTTAATAAATAAAAAAGTAAAAGAAGAAATTAGAAGAAAGCTTAAAAGAAGCTTAAAGAAAACTTAAAAAAGGCTTAAAAAAGGCTTAGAAAAGAAAGGCAAGAAATAAAGAAGAACTAGATATAGTATTATAGTTAAAGGAAAAGAAAGTTAGTTAGTAGGAAAAGAGAGGCCTTTTTATAATACCCTTTCCCTAAATAGTAATTACGAATTTAGAACCGGCTTTATATCAGGAATATCTAGAAAATTCCAAAAAAGAAATTTATAAATAAACTAGAAGATTAGATTAACTTTTCTAAGCTCTTAGGCCTATAAAATAATAATTTATTTATAAATAGAGGCTAAGTTAGGATTTATAAACTAATTAGGAAATCGGATAAGCTTTATATCTAATAATATATACTATATTTATATTACCTTTATAAGGGGAAATTACTAGAGGTAATTTATAAGCTAGCTAGGCAGGATTAGTAAACTATATTCTTAATTCTATTACCTAGTATACTAATAGGGTAATTATAGGAAGTCTTTAGAGAAAGCTAGTAGCCAGGAAAGTTTTAGGGAAATATTTATAAAGCTATTTATAGTTTTCTCAGGCCTTTTAGGGACAAGGGCCTAGAGAGAGGGTTAATATAATAGATATATATAATAGTATATAGATAGGTATTAGATATTATAAATCTAGTTTCCTATTTTGGATATAGCTTATAATTAGAATTATATAGATTATATAGGATTTCCTAATTAAGTAAAGAGCTTTATATACCTGGCTAAGTACTAGGGAATATATAGGGAGATATTCCTAGCTTTAGAAAGGGATATTAATAAGTCTTTTACTAGAATTAATTCTTGGAATTAGTTATACTTACAAGTATTATTTTATAGCTTACTTACCTTAACTACTTATATATTACCTTACTATTACATGCCTTATATATTTTATAATATCCTAATTCTTTTATAAGAATATAATCTCAAGTTATTAAGCTTTTATATATTTATAAAACCGAGTTTCTTTATAGATTTCCGCTAGTAAAGGCTATAAATATATAGCTTTTTCTTAATTATTCTATAATAGATATTAAAAACGCCCTTTTCTTTTAATATAATATACTAAAGCTTCTTTCTTTAAGTCTTATTTAATATACAAGCTTCTATTAGCTAAATTACCTCCTTATCTATAACTTTTTCTGGCCTTCTAGAGCCTTTCTTCTATTTAATTTGCTCTACTTACTTCCTAATTATAAGTAGAGATAGCCCCTCCTTATTATATTAAACTTGAACCTTAGTAGTAGTATTTTTAATATCTATAGTAGTTTATTTGGGAAGATTTGCTCTTTATACAGCCTCAGCTTAATAAATATAAAGTAAATAAGTCAAGAAAATGGCCTTATTAATATCGGTAGCGTATTTGCCCATGGCGTAATTGAATTAGATTAATTAATTAATATTGGTGGGGAAAGAAAGTTTTGGTGGGGTTCGCTAGCAAAAATTCTCGCTTGAGTAACAAATCAAAATCGACGGATTTTTTCGCCCGTTGCCTTTGTATACAAATCCATTAAAGATACTGCCTATTAATTGTATATCCCAAGATTGTGTGCCAAATAAAGGGGAAAATGTAAAACGATACCCCCCCGGGTGTCGATTATATGAATCAGTAGATTTTAGAGTTTTAATAATACCTAATTAGTTGCTTGTACTTGCTTAAGTCTTTCTCTCGAATCAGATTTCCTAATATAGGTATAAGGAAGTTTATATATAAGAGCTCTAATTTGGGGCGTGGAACAGGCGAGGCGATAATTGCGTACGAGGTAAATTAGTTCCAGGCGCTTGATTGCTAAATTTTCAGGCTCTCATAGTGCCTTAAAAATTCCGACTTTCCTTACCTTCTTTAAATATTCTTAAATCTACTAATTATTATACGGAGATCGCGGCATTAAGTGACGGGATTATAGGGCCTTGGTACTGAAACTCCACTGTAGCACTCGTTTCTAGCGAGCTTAGCCGCTAAAAATCCTTGTATTTCTAGGCTACTGCCCTGAAAACAAGCCATAAGCCTCGGACAAGGGGTGCCACACCTTTTAAGGGTTTATCCCCTGTATTTACAAGGGCTTACTCGCTAATTAGCCCTATAAGAGTTATTCTTTTAGTGTCCAAGCGCTATCCCTTCGTCTGGCGAGATATAGTCCACGCTAGCAAGGGGGGTGTGGCTGCACGCAAGCCTCTTCAAGCGTAATAAAGCGAGGTGAGGCTTGCGTGCAGCCACACCCCCCTTGCTAGCGTGGACTATGTCTCGCCAGACGAAGGGATAGTTGCTCTGCCAGCAGCGCTAATACCCTTGAAGATCTTCGTAACCTTGCAATGTCTCATAGTGTATTTCTAGGGCACATAGCCTGGAGATATAGGGCCTTATAGCGTGCGCAGCACCTGAATTGAACTCTACAGTGGGCTCAGTGTCGAAATGCCCTATAATCCCGTCACTTTATGCCGCGATCTCCGTATAATAAAAACTTTATATTCTATTAGCTTATAATCTGGCTTTCTATAATATAAAAAGATAATTAAATTGTAATAATTCTTTATATAGTAAATTAAACTTAAAGGAAAACTAGATTTTTTGGTGCTCCTCTCTACTTTAGGTTAGTCCGGCCCCAATCGACCCCCGGGGGGGGGGGGGGGGCGTTTTACATTTTCCCAAATGAAGGAAGACCCGGACAAGCACTAGCAGCAACGTGGGGCGACTTTCGAAAAAATTGTCTCCACTACCCGGGTCCGAAGGCAAGTTGTCAGACTGGCGGTTGGTGCAATATTTCGTGACAAGGTATTTTTGGATGAGAGGCTTTTTCTCAAGATACGCGAGTCCATTTCATGGATGTCCAAGTCTCCGAGTCTTCCTCCTGCCTTCCAGCAACCGCATCTGAGCAAGCATCTTCATCCCAGCCCGGATATGGTCAAAGATGGGCTCAGAAACGTAATCTTTGGAGACGAAGAAGCAGGGTCTTTCACCGTCATCACTACCACCACCACCACCACCACAACAGCCAGGACCGGATGAACGTGCCTCTGGTGTCTCCACAGGAGGTATGTACTGGTATGATATTGAGTTGTCAAACATGACTGGTGCTCGCCCAACGAACAAGGTCTTAGGCAACGCCATCAGTCCGCCTCAAGCACTACCCAATTAGCAACTTTTACAGCCATTAATTGTCCCAGGGACAAACGCAAGCGGGGCGGCAAACGGTTATCGAAACTATTTCAACCGGCACTTGAAGAGACCCCAGATCAATCCCAACAGCTACAAAGTGAACAACCTCAACACATCCTTGCACCGGACTCTGCCAACACAGGAAATCCGCAGGCAGGATCTGCTGCCCAGCAAGACGCGGCGGAAGATGGAAGTCTCGGCATGGTCGAACCTCACTGGAACTCTCCAGGCACTGCTGAGCTAGAGTCTGGAAGTAGGTTCATACCGGGTGTCATCATTCGAGAGATTCGTGGAGCAGATGGTTCTTTCGGGGCAGAGGTTTGAGATTCACAGTGGTTTGTGAAATTATATTGATTTCTTCGGTTTCTGTTGGAGTTGTGTCGTTGCAGGACTTCAATCTCGGAAGCGGCTTGGTCGACAGGACGAGTCAAAATTTGACACGGAAGGAATGCGGATGAGTTGTCGAGGAGCAAAGACGCAAGCGGCCCCTGAATTTTGCTTCGATGGTTTCGTCTCGGTATAGAGAGAGGATACATCGCCAAGAAAAGAGACTGCTTGATCAACTATGATTCTGTCACTTGCGCTCAAAGGAATGCAGGACTTCGTTGAACTAGTGGCAGCGTTTCTGTAGATCCGCAAAGCGATCGTCTTATCCAGATTTATAAATCCTCCCGAACAGGTTTCACCCCTCTCCCATCCCCCGAAGTCATCGGACCTGACCTAACAGAGGATGTCTGAGAACGCAATGAACCGACCGAATTACTACTTTGTAAAGTTCCCTGACACTCTGTTCCTACCACAAACCCCACTGTTTCATGACTCGCAGCCGTCCTATTAATCCCGCCACTTACGCACCCAACATTTTCCCCAGTCCAAACATCCGTAACTTCAAACGCAGCACCACCACTGTTCAATTCCGGAACCTCTCTCCAAACAATCTCTTTCTGCACCGCACTTGCCAAAGGGTTGAACGCCAGCACCAACGTCCCATTCCCACTCGCGCCACTCCAATATTCGGCCGGACTTGTCGAATTCCATGTCCAATCCGCGTTAGTTCCCCATTTATACGGCTTCGCCGGCGTCCCAAACACTGCATCCTGATTAAACGCCAATAAATACCTGTTCTTCAACACATCAACCAGCTCACTTGACAACTCGTCAAGCGCGGTCCCAATAATCAGTGGGCTTTTCATCGCAGCCCAGAAAGCAAAATGACTCCTATTCTCCTCTAGCGTCAAATTTCCGTTCCCCACCTCGAGCATATCCGCATCATTGTGACCCCAGAAATCAACGGAATTGAGCAGGAAACTGTTCTCGTTCAGGATATACACGATCCGGGACCAGTTTGGTGTGATATCGCCTGACATCCGCCATGAGTTTCCAGTGGCACTTGCCCAAGTTGAAACTTCTGCCTGGCCCCCGTTGCAAAGACTGAATAGAATTGTGCGATTCTGTGCGAAGAGGGCGTCTCTCATAATGTTGTACCGCTTGGTGGTGTTGCTTGTGCTCCAGTCGTAGCTCGCTGGCGGGGGAGGGCGTGAATAGTACTTGGGTGGGCAAGTGCCGTTTTGGAATGGGCCGGGATATGAATCGCGAGGTTCGGGTACACAGCTCTCATACTGATCCATCCATTCTGGCGGAACGTTACAGTCGTCGTACTTGAGGTAGTCGATACCCCATGCGGCGAAAGTGGCGGCATCGAGCGACTCGTAGCCCAGGGACGCTGGGTAACCAGCACAGGTTGTCGTGCCGTCGTCGCTGTAGATGCCGATTTTGAGACCAAGGGCGTGAATTTTTTTTGCTAGGCCTTTGATTCCCGAGGGGAACGTGGTTGGATCGGGAATCAGTTGGTTGGTGCTGCTGTTTCTCCCTGCTTTGACGGACCAGCAATCATCGACTGACGCAGTGTCAGAAAAGAGTTGAGAGCGGGGTAAAGACTTACCGTTCACGTATTCATAGCCCGCGTCTTTGAGGCCGAGATTCACCATCTCATTTGCTGCAGTCATGATCTTCTCCTCGCTCACGTCGCAAGCAAAGGCATTCCACGAATTCCACCCAAGTGCTGGGAGCTTGCCCTGTGCCGGAATCAATAATCGTGAATGTATTGAGGATGAGGAGACTTACCACTCCATCCTTCTGTACCAAAGCAAGAGCAGATTGGAATACTGATACAACGACGAATGGAAATGATCTATGCATATTTCCCTGGATCCGATTGAGGTTTCTGAATGTTGTAGATCAGCACAACAAGAAAAGACATGGCCTGAGAAACACGAGCTTTGCTCCCTGTCCTAGAATTACCTTAGCGCGTCAATAGGCGAGACCAATCATTATCCTCTACTAAAAATGGCCGGTTGCGGGGTGCATGAGTCTCGGGAGGTTCCTACAGCGTCATTCCACCCCTAGATAGCGCCCTCTGACGTTCGAAGCCACTCCATACTCAAGAAAGCTGAAATTTCGCAGTAAGGAAATCTTTAAAAGTCCCCAAATCGAAGCTATTCACGCAAATTATCCGCGATGCGACAATTCTCCGGCATGGACCCCGCACTCTCTGGATTGCGGGGTATACGCGAGGCAGAGTGGTGATCTTCGGACCACAGATAAAATATCCACTATCAAAAAATTTCTTGGGCTCTTGGAAACCCCACAGTTTGTACGACACCGTTTAGTCAGATCTACGGTATGGCAGCAAATGAGTTACTGTAAGAGTTAGGCCCGCCCACGTTGAGGAACCATCATAGCGATCGTGGCTTTCTGGAAGCCATGAATCTGGATTAAAACGACTTCCTGCCAAGACCCCCTATTCCTTTCCCTCTTTGCCCCCCAAAAAAAACTTTCACAAAGCACACCCAGCTCTCTTCGAGAAAACCTTTAAGGTACTGACACAATGTTCTTCACCGTTCTATCCCTCTTCCCCTTCGGATGGGTAAACCAAGGCCTCTCCTGAGTCCCGAGTCTCGGCCAAACCCACCACCTCCCCGACCTCCTCACTAATCCAGGAGTGCCGCTGTCCATTTGGCACCACCATAGAAGCATGAGGAGGGTTCGTACCTGTATTCGTATTTCTGCTCACGGCTTTAATTGCGAATTTGCTTATTTTATCCACGGTCATCTGAATGGTTGGCCACCAGTCTGGCTAGCGATACATTTTGAGGGGCTCAATGGAGACCGTAATGCAAGAGCAAGAGAGATAATTAGAGAGGTTGTGTGGGGTGTTTGGAAGTTCTACCGTCCTGAGAAGGTGTGAAAGTCGAGATGTTTGTGAGGTCCTAGAAGTTTCACAAACGGTGTGCTAGAAGTCTGCGATATCTTAGTAGCAAGACATATCTCGTTCGAAGAGAATCGTGTACCTCATCGTAAGTCCCATCTTATGAACGCCCATTCCGTCAATAGTATCCGCTACCTTCCCTAAGAGTTGAATCCATACTATGAAGCTAGATATTTTCAAAACACGTCCTCCCAAAGCTCCTAAATTTTAGTCCGAACTCCTCCGCTTATACCTTGCTATGGTACCTTATTATATGTACAAACGAACTAGAGAATGGGCACGGAAAAATTCAATACAGTCGTCCCCCTTAACAGTGAGGTCGAGACCATCTAGTGCTTGCGGAGAGGACAGCATCTTGATGATATTGGAAGGTCGAGGAGGTGAGCGGGAACTCGTCGAAGGGAAAAGTCAACCATTATTTGACCCCATATTCCCCATATCCACATCAGCATTCAAGCTCCCGCCACCAGCCATTGCCGTGACTCCATTTCCCCCATTATCAAAGTAATTGAGAACATCTTGCGGGAGATACCAAGGCATCATATCGCCGCCTAGAGTCGACATATCGATTTCCTGGCTATCCATAATCATGTCACCCACGCCACCGATCCCCAAGTAGCTACCAGGGGGAAACATGCTCGAGTTGGTCTGTGTGAAGTCGAATGAGCCCCCATCTGCGCGGGTGCCACCTGGTGAAGTCATGCTTTGGTTTGGATTGTGGTCAAATGATCCGGCTGATCCTGGTGTGTGATGGGAGTAGGGTGAGTTTTGGAGACCGAGGAGCATTTCGGCGTCGGAGGTGGAAGCTGGATCGGAGGATATGGGCGTGTATTTTGGAGCTGGTGGTGCCATTGGTTGAGAGTTCTGGCGCCGTGGTTGTACAAACGATGTGTATCTCGAGGGGTAGGTCGAAGTTGATGTAGAAGCTGTAGTTGCCTCTGGCAGACTCTGCCTTATTGGGTCGTATATCATGTTCCCAGCAGCAGGTTGAGGAGGTGGCGGGGGTTGTGGTTGTGGTTGGGTCTGAGCGTGAGTTTGTTCGCCGTTCGTGCTCTGGTACATGAAGGTCAAATTCGAGCTTGCAGAATTCGTAGTCCCAGTCAAGGACCATCCAATCGCCTGAGAAGGGTCGATCAAAGGCGATCCAGGTAGATTCTCCATCCGAGGGGATCGCTTGTCAGTAAATCGACTTGTTGGAGATGCGCTAAGTGATAATTTCTTTCTCCAACCAGGAATCATGTCATGGCGAATTTTTGTCAGTTCATATTCCTGCTCCGTATAAGTCTCAGGGTCCCAGATTCCCTTTGCTTTCTGGTCAAGGGCCACCAGAATATATCTCGTGCCTGCCCAATACGTTTCTAGTTGTTGGAGGGCTTTATAACAGCGCTGGTAGTTCTGATTCGCTGCTGACGCGAGCAAGGAGTGCTTCTGCTTCTGCTCATTGGTCTTTGCGGCAGCTTTGGTATCCTTCGATTGATCGCCTTTTGACGGTTCTCGCGGAGGGCTGGCATCTCTTGATGTCGGCTGGGAAGAAGTATGCGCAGCCGACTCCATCAAGAACGCACACGCTGCAATATACATTGGCTGACTCGTGAACGGGTTACCAATAAAGCTTCTGGGATCAATCAGTTCCGCAAAAGCCAGTATATCAGCGATGGTCTTAGCAGAAGACATGCTAAGCTCGCGGCTGTTGGGTAGTAGTTGTAATATTTGTCCTTCAAAGGAATGCATTAATGTCGGTTGATGGAGTAACATGATGAGCGTGTGAAACCAGAAGTGGACCTTTGAACCGTTAGTAAACTCAAATACAAAAGTCCGATGTGCCACACAGACAAGAATAAAATTTGTACCCTCCCCAGCCTTGACATAGTGTTGGAAGTTTGCGGCGTTGAAAGTCAATCGTGGGTCGAGCCGTTGATACAACTGCGTCAAGTCTTTCTCTAGCCCAGACAAACCTTCAATCTTCTTCGGCGTCACATCCTTAACGTCTCGGATATTGTTCAACAGGTCTGATACTCGTCCATAGAGATGAATGATCTGTATAAGCGCGGGAAATGGATTGGGCCAGCCGCTTTCTGTATTCGCTGTGATTGCAGGGAAACTGAGTTCAAAATCCTCATCTCGCAAGGTGGCAGGTCTGCCAGTCCCAGATGAGATGACTCGATCCAGCATAAAGACCGCCCAGAGTGTGTCAGTGCGCTCCTGCTCGACTTCTTTCATTTCTTCGGCACTGATAGCGGCGGGGGTATCTGACTGCGTCATGTCATTACTCGATCGATGATACCCGGGGTCCTTTTGTCCCTGGTGCTTGACGCCATCAAGTTTCTGCAAGCCGAGGTCAACGGCCATGCGGATGGCACAGCCAAGATACATCCACAAAGCACTGTCTTGATTGGCACCAAATCCCTCATAGGCCAACAGTAGGCAGGCTTGCACAGCTGAAACCGTAGGACACGGGAAAGTTTCAACAACCGCAGCCTTGGCTCTTTGAGCAAAGACGTGTCCATATTCCGATTTTGGATAAGAGCTGTCGTGGCTCGCAGTTAGAAGTGGGTGGTCTGAGAACCGTGCTGCCAGGCCACAGACAGCATCCACAAGTATGGCTTCGACTGACTTTTCCTCGACCCGTTGGAGGAACGGCTTTTGACGGAGGAAAGGATAGTTGCATCCAAGACGGGCGAAGAAAGTCTCAACAAGGTGAATGATCAGCTTATTTACTGGTAATGGGTCTGTTGGGTCGTAGATTGGCATTTCAATGGAAGACCTTGGTTCGGTTCCAGCTTGGGAAGGTGTGCGCTCTCCGTAACCGACAGAACCGGGAGACACTGCTTTTATCAGTCACTACAGTTGATGTCACAAATGCTTTTGGTACGTACTGGCGACAGAAGATCCAGCACCAGTGCTTCGGCGATGCTCTCGAACAGACACAACCATCTGCTTGAACCCAGGGACGATTGCAGTCGGACCAAAATATCTGAAGTACGGCACTCGGTGGCTTTCGGTCTGGAGTGGAGGAGATCGGTCTTGGAAAGGCTCGTCAGTGTCAAGAAGCAATCGCTGGTAGGATAAATTACCCAGTGGACTACGTGCATCCTCAGAGTAGGCTGCACTTTCTCTATATTCACCGAAGTTCGGCAGTTGATTCTTCTCACGCTCCGAAACTTCCCTTGCTTTTGGCGGTTTCGAGTCGAAATAGCTCTGGTCCTTGGATTCTGTCCTGTTCAATGTAGGGCTTCCATTCGAATACTGGCGTTGGAGAGGGCGTTTCCCGTAATCGCTCACACGCCTTGCTCCGTCCATATTCTTATCGTCCTGGTCCTCCCAATCGTCGTCCTCATTATGCTCCTTCTTGGGCCCAGTATCGCTATCTTTTCGCTCCTTCTTTGTAGTTCCCTCACTCACGTCGGCATATCCCAAACACTCATGGCCATTCTCTGTACAGGTCGAGCACAGCGGTTTCTTTCCATCACATCTCGTCTTACGTTTTCGACACGTCCGACAGCTGCTCGATTGAAGATCCCATTAGCAAAAGAACTTCGCATGTGCGAAACCTCACGCGTCCACAAGCGCCGCCACCAAAGCACACCACAGTCCATGCAGATAATTGAGGCAAAGCATGGAATAGTACGCACGCAGCATTTATCCTCCTCCTCTTCGCAGGCGGCTGGCCCTCGTTGTTCACGAAGCGTATCTGCTTCGGCGGGGGCAGCTGTTGCTGCTGCGGAGCTGGGGTCGAAACCCCGCTGGCGGCAGAGCTCATACTCATGCCTGCCTGCGCGCAGTTGACAGCCGTTATCGCAGTCGCATTCTCATCGGGGCGCGCATTGCCTGGGACAGGTTGTCGAGGGATTGCGGCGGCTGTGGATAGGGAGAAGTGATATCAAGGGGATGGAAAGCTTGGGGAGAGCTATTTTTCTCCAGGCGTCCCAGAGGTGAGGTGTGGAGAAGTGCCGAGCCAGCTGGGGGTGGCGCTAACCCCAGTTTGTCATCTGCCGATTACCGACCACCTCCTCTTCACTTAATTGTATCTTGATTTCCAGAAGTCTGAGATTCAAGAGATAGGTTTGATTCTGTGCCACTTGATCTGTTGATTTACTTTTGTATCCGATTGAGCAATTTAGATAATGTGTTATCGTATTTCGGCTGTGACGCGTGGGGGTGATAAAAGCCGAATCTACTTCCTCGGTCCTCGATTACAGGTCATCAACGTTTAGAGGCTATAAAAACCAAGTTATAAGGCTGTTAATCTCTCTTTTACCTCCATTTTGTTTTGTTGGGCTCCGGGCATTATTAGCGTTGCTGCCCCAGCGAATCTTCGCTCAGATTGCGGCCTTCACGTGCGCTGGAGTGCCTGGGAGAGTTTGTATATTATGATGGCAGTCCGGATCATAATGATAAAGACTCTGATATAATTTGAGAATACTCCAAGTTTCTTCTCAACTAGAAACAGTTGAATGAGATAAGTGTTTAGTCTAGATTTGAGTCCGATTTTTTAATGTTGCTTGAGGGAAAAGTCACGAGTTGACAGTAATCAATATCACATGAAGGACGCTCGATGGATTTAAAGGTTTTAATATTCTGCTACGGAGTCCAGAATTTCCAGGATTTTCAATCCCGGTCTCCCAATACTAGTCTATCAAATCTAGACATTGTGGTCTACTGGGTGTCTGGACTTTCCATATTCTGCGCCAAGTGCTGGCCAGTATCACGCGCAAAGTACCCATTACCAAATAAAATGTATGTATGCAAAGCAAAAACCGACATCATCAAGCATCAGAGAGTATCGACTTTTTGAGAAATGAAATAGCGAAGAATCAATAGTCTATGAAGAGACGCCAGCTTCAGCAGGGGATCAAAAAGTAAGTTTGACTTGCCGATTGCGTCTCTCCATGCTATACACGTCGACCTATTCTCTCCGTCGCCGACCACGAAAATTTCTCTCTAGATGAGCGTCAACTCCAAGATTGGAAGTTCTCCAATGACGATCCTCGACATCTCGAGTCCGAGAGCGTCCGAGAGCCACGTGAGATTGCCGTATCTGTCAACCTTGAAGTACTTCTGTCCCTCATTTGACACAAGACCACCAAGTAATCCTTTATTCTTGCAGACAACGTTCTCGACCAAGCCAACGTATTGTTCGGGTTGACCGTGGAACTTCGAGAGTTGCTGCGAAGCCTCCTTTCGCACTTCCGACCAAAAGAGGGGAGCCACATTCTTCAGTCGCGAAACGTGCGACCAAAAGATGGCAAGTAAAAGCTTAGCAGCACCATTGCGCTCCTCTCCGATCTTGCGGATGCAGTCGTGGACGGAATCAGCGGTTTCGGACTTGGACAGATCCTTCCACAGCGATGGGTGATTGTCCAAGGAGAAAGTCTCCTCGACCGGTCTAAGAGGCAGAATGGCGAACTGCCAGTAAAAAGTGACCAAAGCAGTCTCCGGGCCGTTGTACTTTGGCCGCGCTACGTCAGAACCGACGACGGAAGTGGAGTTACCGGACATGGTAATTGATGTGGAGATATTAACGAGTCTTGAATGTACGAAGTTGAGTCCGTTGGATGGGAGAGAATGTGAAAAGAGCTGTTGCTCGATTAGTGTGAGATAAACTTCTTGTGATTTTGCGACGTGATCGCTGCTGAGGTCGGGTGCGGTGGAAGTTAGTTGATGAGGGAAGGAGGAAAGGCCGCCAGAAGGGACCTCTCCTCTTCATTTTATAGAACCCCAAGACAAGAAATAAACAGAACAGTTTAAGCGAGGCCGCATTCTCAATGTAAATTTTGTGTTTCTAGTGAATGAGCATTTCTTAAGTTTAAAAGCGCGAAAATTCAAGGAGAGCATATTGAGAGTAGTAACCCTGCAACCTAAATGAACAATAACTTGTGAAGCACCTATTATTTCGTCGAAGTATGGGTCTTTCATTTAGTATATTTTCGTGATAATCCAAAGTCACTTAGAGAACAGTACGTCGAAAACAGGACCAAGAAGAATACCTAGAAAACAGCACTTCAAAACAACAGCTAAACAACAGTACGAGCTAGGGTTAGACTGAGGGTCGCTTGTGTGCGTTAGTGGAACCATGAAGTGAGAGACATGATTGCGGCGGAGAGGGAGACGACGAAGTCTGGTTCAGTCGAGGTTATGAGGGCGAGGGTGGGTTTAGTAGTGAGAGGATTATTGAAAGGGAGATTATTTATGACGGGCCACCGAGACGGGTGCCGAGGCTGATTGGCAAATCTGATTCGCAGAGGCTCGGGTACAACTCCGGCTGGTCGGGGCGTAGCTATGGTCATTGCCAGCCTTCGGATCCGGTGAGTCGGTCGTACGACATTTGACAAACATTGCTCCAGCCTCTCCAAGGCGATTCATGGCTGGAGTCGGATTTTGCATGAGGATTTGCGGTATCACAAAACGGCAGCCTGCATGAAGGGATATATAGTTGACTAGTGATCAGCCTGCCCACTCAAGTATATAAGCCTTGATTCCCTGATCGAAAATCATCATCACCTATATGTTCATCTCCCCCATCCCAAGCCCTCTGTATTTATCTCTCTCTCACATCGACAACTTCTAATTGTACTGTACCAAGTTGATTTGTCGATCAAAATGTCCGTCTCAGCAAACGAAGTCACACGTATCGAACCATCGCAGCAATCACTCGACGAAGTTGGGACTTCTATGAGTGTGCCCACTCAGGAATCCCAAGTCAGTCCTCCAGGCCAAATACAGCAGTTGATTCTCAACACCCTTGAGAGTCAAGGAACAATCTCCACCAGTGGTTAGCAAGGTGGCGTATCACGTGAGGAGCGAATGGCTACTATTTTGAACTTGCCAGTTGACAACCATCAGGTACTCTCTTCCATATTGACTGACATAAATCAGGATTGGCAATCTCCGCCATGCGAGTCAATGTCAACCATATCCTCCAGATTCAAGTCGAATGATCCAAATCTGTACAAGGTTCGAGAAGGAGATCCCTGGAGAGTCTCCGACTAAGGTACGTTGTGGAGAAGGTGTGGTAGCTAACGAGATTAGGAACAATACGAACAGGAGATTCAGTGGAAGGTTGAGCAATTGCAGACGCGAAGGGACAGTATTCAAGATAACAAACAGAAGTCGGCCAACGACCCCACCCAGGCCTAAGGGACAGGGACATGGCTCTTAAAAGTTGGTAGCCAGACGCAATTGTTGTTGACAAACGTCTGATAATTAACTCATTTACCAATTTCCCATTCAGATGAAGAACAGTTCCTGATTTCTTCCGCGATTTCCAGCACACTGCAATGCAATAAATACAGTCCAATTACCCTAAGAAATACCCATCAGATTGATATTTACACACACACGTTCCCATTTTCACAAACCCAGAACTGGACTAGATCATTCACACTGACTCCACCAAACCGAAGTCTCAACACACACGTACGGCGGCGTGCAAACCGTGCTCCCCGTATATCCAATCCCACCACACTACCCAGTTTATTAGTTCTCATTTCTTCCTTCCGTTTCTGCACTTTTCCACTCCCTCCACCCAAGTGCAAACGAGAGAGAAAACGCAAACGTACCTGGCTCCACTGCCCCACCGTCCCCGTCGCCGTGCTCGTGGCCCCGGTACTCGTCGTCGTCGCAGTCTTCGTCGGACTCGACGTAGCCGTAGTTGTCGCCGTATGCGTCGTAGTCGCTGGTCCAGAAGAGCAAGGCGAGCCTGTGAGCAGGATTTGGTACGCTTCTTGCGCGTACGTGCAGCCGTTGTTGAAGTTTGTGTCTGAGAAGCCTGCTGACCACCTATCGTCGCCTCGTTAGCTAATGGCTTGTCTTTTGGGGACTGAGGAGGATGGAATGGGGAGGAGGAGGGTCGTACATCATGATCCCACCGAAGTTTGAGTGGGATTTGTATTGGCCGACGAGAGTGGCGAGTTGGTCTGGAGTAATGTAGTATATCTCCCCACTTGGCGTCCCCGTACTCGCCAACGGAGCAGCAGGAACACCGATGAATATCTTCGCATTCGCCGACTTCGTCCCGGACAGAGAAGAAACCCATTGATCGTAGTTGAAAGGAGCGTTTCCGTTGAAGCCGAGCGAGCAAGGGTCCGGCGCATAATTATTATTATTATAAAACTGCACCCAGAGGTAGTCGAACTGAGCATTAGCGATCATGCTTCCCATATTCGGTTCCGGGATCGGACATTGTGGTGCTCCGGTGATGTAGTAGGTGTGTGATGGATCTGAGGCGAAGAGGGTGCGCAGTTTGGCGATTAGGTACGGGTAGTAGGCGGCGCCGGACGAGACTTCGATGTCGAAGTCGAAGCCGTTTACATAAATGCTTCCGAAAGGGCGCTGCACGGCAGTGTTGCCGGAGTTGCCGTAGGCGTTCCAGAGGGAGGTTGCGATGGCTTCTGCTTCTGCTTGGGAAGTCAATGTATAAGAACCACTAGCACCGCCTAGAGAAAGGATGATCTTGACACCAGCAGCTTGGCATTTAGCGATTGATGACGTAAGAGCATCGCAGTTCTGGCCCTGGCCGGAAGTGGCAATGAAGCATGATTGTCCAATTGTGCCTGAGGGGATGGTATTCCCGTTTCCGTAGGAATAGAGGAAGGCGAGGACTATGATGTCGATTCCAGATGTCGGGGTGCAGTATGTTGACAGGTCATTGTTCTCGATTGTTCCGCCGCCGTTTTGACCCCAGTAGACAACGTTTTGGCCGCTGGAGGCACGGGGGGAGAGGGGGTACGGGATGGCTGAGGAGAAGGTGGCGAGGAGGCCTAGAGTGGCAACGAGTGTGGGTAAATACATGGCGATAGAGATTGATAAAAAGATAGATGGACGGATATGTACAGTGAAGGATAACTATCTAGAAGGAGGGGAATGATCTGTCGAGGATCCGAAGAATGAATGTGATGCCGGCGAAATGCTCTGGCTGAAGATAAGAAGAAGAGTATAGCGGAAGGGAAGCTGATGATATACATAGTCTTCCTTGGGAACGGAGATGAACACCACTTGGGCCCAAAGAGTGCATAGGAGCTTCCACCTGAATATGTGGTATCTAAAGATGATGCACTTGCATTCGTCTGGTACCATCAATATAAACTTTGAAAGAAGACGTTACATGAAAAGGCACAGCGCTGAGACAATAGAAAAGATCGTGAGATGGGCATACCGATCGCATCTGCATTCACTAGAGCTTCTTTGGATGAAGGAAGGATCAAGTAATATCCGTGCGGCCTGGGGGCAGAAGCGGTACAGCCGGACGTGGTTCTTGATAAAGAAATTGATCGAGACTATAGTGGGAAAATCGCGGGGGATGTGGCTTGTTCCTAGCCAAGCTATATAGGGCTAATGCAGAGTGGCGAAAGTTACCATGCAATGAAGCGACCACTTGCAACTCTATCGGCCCGCCATGAGATTTAAGTTCGCGGTATGTCGTGTTATCTGAGCGCGTGCGTGCCAAAGTGTGTGGCTCGTGGCTTCGACGCTACCACCTTCCTAATTGGGACCCTGGCTGGATCCCTCGAAATAAAGGGGTTTCGCGGATCCTTGGTGGAAAGCACAGGTTCAAGACCACAGACAAGTGTGTTCAAAATTATGGGAGAGATTTTGCCAAGTGCGTACGAGTCATATCCGATTCTACGATAGTGCCTCTTTGGTGCATTTATTTGCACGGCGGTGTTGTTGAAGCGCGGCTCGCTTAATTCAGGGGCTGAAGTTCTAAGCACTCAATCTACCCTGAGCGATAACCGACGATCATCGATCGATAGAGAAGGCAGGGGTATGCAGACGGCAGTGCTTGCCTGGCTACATAATAAGGGAAAGATTGGAGGCGCTTAAGAATGTAACGTATCTCGAGATGTCCTCCGCTTCATGATGGTCACGTGATATTCTTCGAAATTGCTTGAGGAGGACCGGAGACAAGGAATTAGGGTATTCGTTTGCGTAAAGAGTTTCCAAGCAATCTATACCACCGGAACCATTCCTACAGGTGGCGCACTATCTTTCTTCGCGGAACTCGCTTCGTAAATGTGAACTTCTCAGGACTTGTAGATATCGGCATCACTATCCAAAGTTAGCAGCACTCTTGTCTCAACACCACCATCAGACTTACAATTTCCCAAACTTCTCTCGTCCCTCAGCGTCTTTGTTCACCCAGACGCTAAGACTCACACCAGGGCATGTAAAAACCCCAAACCCATCGTTCCCAATCGTGACCTCACCCTGTTCCCACCCCAGAACATCCGTCCAAACCTCACCGGCATGCATATCGCCAACCCACATTCTCTTCTCTCCTGGCCCTGCATTGCTTAATACAACCGCACAACCCCATTTCTTATCCCACGTGCCAAGTCTAACCCACCCAATACACGTAGCATAGTCGAAATAATCCTGTTGTTCGCCATACGCATACAACTTGCGGGCGAGCACGAGGTCTGGTAGAGCGCCACCGCAGGCGGGAGGGATGGACTGCGCAGTGCCGGCGGGGTCGATACCGTACATATCGCCGTAGAAGAGGCACGGGTAGCCGGAGTTCCGGAGGAGGATGAGAGCGTAGGCCAGTGGCTTGAAGAAACCTTCGATAGGGGCTTCGAGGGCTTGGTGGGGTTGGGTGTCGTGGTTCATCACAAGGGTCTGCAGATTTAACTCATCAGAATCTAATCGATTTTCGAAGAGGAAAGGGGAAGGGCTCACGACGGCGTTGACAGGCTCAATAGCCACCAACGTATTATCAAACACCTTCCTGAGATCCGCATTCTCCGTCTTGCTCATTTGTGAAAAGTTGTAGACAAGCGGCGCATCAAACAGACTGAACTTCTTGCCCATACGCTCCAGATACCTGCTCATATCATCCAAACTATCTTTCCAGAATTCGCCGACGAAGAACCATCCTTCGCCATGCGTCTCATCCATTGATGTGATGAACTTCCTCAGAAAGTCTTCAGAGAAATGTTTCACAGCATCGAAACGGATGCCCTTGAGTGTGATCTCCTTAGAGAGCCAGACGCCCCAGTTCATAACGTCGGCTTCAACCTCGGGATGCGAGTAGTCGAGATCGGCGAACATGAGGTAATCGTAATTGCCCTTCTCGGAATCAACGTCTCCTGACTGGGCCCAGCCCTTTGTCTTGTCGCCAAGGATCTTGTAGATGGCTGTCTTGTTATTGTCGGCGTTGTAATCGGTGCCAGAGAAATGGTACCAGTGATATTTCTGCTCTGAGTACTTATCTCCGCGGCCGGGGAAGTCGAAGCCAAGCCAGGCATTGATTTCATAGGGGTCGGAGACGGTCTTGGTGCGGTCGTTTTCGTCGACTTCTTGGGCTTCGCATCGCTCTTTGTGGTCTGCTGCTGCTTTGTGGTTGAGGACTGCACGAGTCAGCTTCTGCTGCGTGGGGATCGGGGAAGGGAGTGCTTGCCTGCGTCCCAATAGATGCCGAGTCCGACCTCGTTTGCCTTGCTCGCCAAGGCGAGGAGTTCTTCCTTGGTTCCCCATTTCGTACCCTTGCCCCCCTTCTGATCGAACTCTCCCAAGTCGTACAGGTCGTAGATGTCGTAGCCGTTGCCGGAGGGAGATGAGGCTTTACATCCGGGAGGGATCCAAATATTATCAACCCCGGTGGCTTTCAATTGTGCGGCTTGGTCGTGCAGGCGTTTCCAGTGCTTTTTATCGTCCGGTACGTACCATTCGAAGGCCTGCATCATGGTCATGTTCTCGGGAGTGGGTTTCTGCTCTGCAGATGTCAGCTAATACCTACAATCAAATGAATTAGAAGAGCTTACCTGAATCTGCCATCTTGGCTAGACTTCGCTGTGCGGTCTCCTGTGTCTGATCAATTGATTCACAAAATGCTATAATTTCCTGCAAAACTGGTCAAGGAGCAAAAGGGGACAGAGGGAGCTGAAGATAAAGGGAAAAAGCTGGCATTTGTTTAAATAGCTGGCAGCTGAAAATCAAGCCCCTCCATGTACATCCGCTGCCCCACCAAGGATTGAGCTCTTTGGCTGCACGACTTCCAAGCTGGCTGCCCGATAAGGTCTGGACCCCTGAAAATTGGGGGTCTGACGTAGCGGGCTTGGTTTTGACCCTGCGAAACGACTGATGGCCCGGAACGTTTATTTCTTCCTGCATGTCTCTGATAAGAGGATCTTGATGGGAGAGAGAAAAAGAATGGGTGAAGCGTGAAGGTTGCTGGGTGGAGAGAGAAAGAGGAAGAGCTGGTGGAGGAAGAGGAAATGGGGATTCGAGAGAGGCTGACGTCATCTGGAGTAGTACTGACTCCAAACAGCTCCTATCTCGAGCTCGGAAGTCCTCAGATTTCGACACAATACAACGACTAGAGGTCGATGTCCACTTCTGTAAATGTTTCAAGATCTGCAAGGGGGTGGGCAGGGCATCGTGAAAATGCACGTGACTTTGCTGGCCCGCGGAATGAGGAGCGCACCTTCTTTTGGCTGATAGAGCACTGCTCAACCACCACAAAAATGAACCCATAATATAGGAGGACTACCGTCTGACCTTTGCAGTGGCGGAAGAGATCTTCTTGGACGTTTTAAAGCAAAACACGGGATCCATATCAGTTGACGCGTTGATACTGACACGTGACAAGGGGCCAATCTGGCATTGGAGTATTCTGAGCAGAGACATGAGTCAAAATTACCCAATCTTTCGCTGGTTCTGAAACGTTATTAAGAAAGAGAAAAGATGACTTCACCTGTAGGCATTTGGTGAAGACGTGTGGAAGTACTCCGTAAGTGGACGAGAGTCGTGTCAAATTGAAGCTCGTTGGCACCCAATCACGAAATTAAATCCCGTTGCCGTGGCAGCCACGATCAACAGCACATGAAAGGAGCGTCGACTCGAAGAAACTGACAAGCATCCCCAACACCCCGCCATACACCAATAACATTTCAAAAATACCCACACTAAGAACCAAACGTCGTTATCGTATTCGCCATCTCATATCGCAAGATCCCAGCAAATTTCCTCGGGTTGCTGCATGAACCGGCTCGGCGTGTCATTATTTACATTTAGCAAACACAAACCCCGAGATGCGCAAATCAACTCCGGACTTCCAAATCCACGTGGATGGTTCTTGCTTATCCGATCCGGCGAATACAGAGCACGATAAAGAAAACGCAATGTCCGCAGAACGCGTTTCGAGTAACCAGACAGTGGTGCATCATGATTCTTGGGGAGATGCGTCAGAAGAAGAGAAAGCTCCGGTCGAGGAAATGCTGAAGGGTGAGGAACCGGCAGAGAGCGAGCAGGAAGACAAGACAGAGGATGCAATTGATGAGGAGCACGACATGGAACAAGCGGCGAGAGAACGGCAGATCGACCGAATCGAAGCTCAGATCCAGGCTGCAGCACGAGCGGTAGTTGCAAGCATTGAACAAGACCACTACGGAGGTCCCACAGACCCCGAAGTCAGTATGCGAACGGATGAGAGTTACGAACCTGAAAGGACAGAGTTGACATACGATGGGACGGAGTTGACCTACGATGGAACAGAAGCCACGTACGAGTCTGATCATGAACAACACTCTGTTCATGAAGAGAATTTGACTTCCCATCACGACGCAACGCCCGAGCCCGATCATAACCAGCACCCCGAGAATAAAGGAGGAGACAGTTTGCATCACGATGCAGCATATGAGTCTGACCACGATCAACACTCCGAGCACGGAGGAGATTCGAGCTCGCATCACGATGGTGATATTGATGACGACGTCTTCAGCCACTCCGATGGTAGCAAACGAAGCAGTCTCAACTCCCTCCACGAACTCAGCGCCGACGAGAATATCAAACTCCTCACCTCTCCTGCCGTTGGCGAGGAAGCAGCATCCAGCAATGAGAACGAACCCATCTCTCGAATCCCAAGCGGAGCATCCTACATGCATCAACCTGTAGACTCCACCCCCCGCACACCAGGCAAAGTCCTCTCGCGACCGCCTTTTCGAACCCCCTCCTCCGTCCGCGCAATACAAATGTCATCCCCCACACCATCAATCTTCTCCTCTCCACGCTCTACAAAACGGCCGTTCCCTGCTGTTTCCAGAATAGGGACACCGAACTCGCACAACTCGCCCTCAAAACGGACACCCACACGCTTCAAACCAAAACAACTCCCTCTCGTCTTACTGCACGTTACAGTCCTCCCTCTCCAATGGCCATACTCGCATCTCATGTCCGTACCCGACGTTCCAGAATCCCTACAAAGTGTCAAAGAAAGCTGGCGTCTCCTCCAGGAAAAGTTAGGAGACACAGTCCTCGAACGTGGAATCCTCCTTCCGCATCCCCAAGACTCCTATGAAATCCTTGAAGAGCGACTTCTCGAGGCCCTCGAACTACCCGTTCACCCACGAGCCCTAATCCTAAAATGCGGACACTACATGGGGCCCTCAGAGACGCCCTCATCCGACGAAGAAGCGGGGGCACCTGGCGAATATTCTTGGAATAGTGCACAAGGACAGCGGAAATGGTGCGATATCTGTGGCCGAGACGTCAGAGTTGAAGAAATCGGCGACGTCGCGGAAGGAGAGCGGCGATTCAGAGTCAAGATCTATGCGAGTAATGGGTTGATGCGAGCCGGTGCGTGGGCGGCTGCGTGGCGGGAAATGGAGAGGGTGGATGTGGAGATCGAGCCGTTTGTTGAGGGAGCGTTGGCGGTGGAGTTGGAGCATTTGGCGACTATCTCGCCAAGCAAGATTCCTACTCATGACCTTCATGAGGAAGATGACGGGTTCGTGGACGAAGAAGACGTGATTGAGCACGTCCATGATCATCATGAACATAAGCATCATGAACATGAACATCGTGAGGAGCCGGTACATGAAGAAGACGAAGCAACGAGACTGAAGAGACTCCAAAACGAAGAGCGTATGCGAGAAATCTACGGCCCGGGTCTCGATACGCCGTGCCCTCCACCAAGACCTGCACCATATCGGCGCACCAGCTCAAGAGCGTCGACAGGGTCGGTAAATGGTGACTCGCTGCCCGACCTCTTGCTCGCGGCGTTCAAGGTCGCGATGAGGGATAGGAAAAATGTCGCGATTGTGGTGTTGAGTTTGTTCATCCTCATCCTCTCTCTGAGGCCGAATTCTGCAATCGAACAGCCGAATAATGTGGTCGTGATGCCGGAGCCGGCGGTGAAGATTGAGACAACGACTGTGTTTAGGGAGGCGACCGTGACAGAGATGGTTCCGGTCCTAGTCACAACTTCGATCGTTGCTCCTGTGGAAGTTCCAACACATGTAGCTGAGCCTGTTCAGGTTGTGCAGAGCGTAGAGAGTCAGGCTCCGATTGTTGAGATACCGGAGGCTCAGCCGGTCTCAGCTCAAGAGCACATCGAACAGTTCGTCGAGGCACCTGTTCCAGCCCGCATACCAGAGGAGAAAGTGATCGCACCTTCGCCTGATCCTCCGTCCGTGGAAGTACCGATTCAATTTCCTGTTCCCGCCGAAGCCCCGCGCCAGGAACCAGTCCCCGTTGATGTTGTGACTGAGTCGGAATGAACCTTGTTCATGTAAGAGAGAAGGAGGAGAAGGAGGAAGGATAAGGAGGAAGTAATGTGAATATCCAGATTGTAAATATGGAAGCGATGAATATTGGATTGACGAGTATTTGAGCGAGCTAGCGTTGTTTGTGTTTGTGTTCTGCTTTGGAATGTGCAATGGGTTGTTAGAATGAGAGACTATGAAACTGTGTATTTAGATAGCTAGTTCGTGATACCGTGTCGCTACTCAAGGAGACTTAGAGAGTGTGGATTGTTTTTCATTGATTTTATTCATTTCATGGCAATCAGTACCCAGAAAGAAGAGATGGCAAGTGCCTATGAAATCCTTTACTCCTCCCCTCGCGGCGTGTTTTGGGGATGAAAGCGATCTGTATACGAAGTCAGTATAAAGACTGAGTTAGTTGCAAGTGTATATCGCTATTTGAGAAGGAAGAGGTTGCCACGACCGAAAACGGAAATGGAGTTCTGAGCATGGAGGGTGAGCACGTGATGCGCAAAGCTCGCTTATCAAAAGAGGGCAAGCCTTGCAAGAAGCAAATGCAGGGCGCTCCCAAATTGCCGGCGTTCTGAAGTTGAATTGACCGACAACACCGAGAGCGCAAGAAGCACAGCCGTCGGATCTCGCATCGCTTACCTTCATCACCACAACATCCACCTCAACTTTCCATCAACCAATGCATTAATTTCCATATGTCTGCGCGGGGATAAAAATCAATTAGTATTGAAGTCTCAATTGTTTTTTAAGAACGATGTCTTAATTTCTTAATGCGCGCATCAAGTGGTGCACTCACATTGTCTGTTGGATTGGGCTTTGGATATGATGGTTGCTCAGTGGCACCCTCATCGCGGCCGTGATTTTGGATTGCGTATGTGCCGAACATTGCGAGAACTTCAGAAAATGACCGATCCGGAGGGCTGCAAGTAAGCGAGTGCCCTGCAGGAATGTCAATTCAAATCCCAAGATTCGATCACGGCGCGCTGCCGCTGCCGCTGTCTCTGCGTCACGAAGGGGGCAATGTTTGAGGCGAGATACTTACGGGTTGCGACGTTGGAAGCTGTACGAAGATGGTATGGTCCGAGTGGATGTGTGCGACAATTGCGACGATTGCTCGAAGAAGAGAGTGCTGTGAGAATGATGGTGGGCGGTGGGCGAGTTCTTATACCAAGGGCATCAGCGCTGCTTCAATGATGGGATCTCGTTTTCGAACCCGTGGGATTTTTGGACCAGTGTTGGAGGGTCCTCAGGCTGATTACCAATGAGGAGTCAGAGTATTCATTGCTGTTCTATGAATCGGTGGTCCGGTCTTGAAGTTGGGGATGAAAGTGGCACATCGGGAGGCATCCGGTCACTTCAGCTTTCGAGTGCCACTTTCCTCGAATGCAGGTCGAAATCCTTAAATTCTGCTCCGCTGCCCCATGTCAAGCATGATTCTGTTACAGTGTAAATTTATTTGAAGTCAGTTGACGGGACACTTCGGAATTCTGCAGCCCTGTGCCGATGAGCAGTAGCTGCTCAAGGCACTTTGACGGTGTTGCCATGCAAGTTGTTCGGGTACAGAGCCTTGCGAACTTCGACGTCGCTTTCCTCGATTAAAACTATTCCAACCTAAATCTAAATGCGAATTTTAATTAGAAATTATTACATGAACTATTTATTAAGCTTCGAGGCTGATCTAATGACTACTGGAATGAGCTAAAGTGTTTGCAGACGCTGAAGGTCTTTCATATTGTTTAATCTTTCAATTATAGCGCCCTGCTTAGTATTTCACCTAGTAGAGATGAGACATATAAAATTTGGAACCGGTAGAATAATGCCATCATTAAATAAGCTCAGTAAATAAAAGTTAGCATGTGGTCCAGAGAGGCACGTGTGCGATTATAGTCACGTGATGGTGAATAGACATTCATTCATTGAAGTCTAGTTGGGGTTACTTTAATTATTCTGTTCAAGTATATATAAGTATAGCTAGATAGGACGGGGTACTACTAAACCCGAATATATTGCTTTAATACCGGTAATTAAAGAAGCTTTATAACTAAAGTAATTATTTAAAGAAATATTAATTTCTATAAGCTTAAAAAAGATAAAAAAGAATATTTAAAAAGCTCTAGATCTAGTTACAAATGCCCGATTTTCGCAAAAAACCAAGTATATTAATATTAGATATTATTTTATTCGGAATTATTTTAATATTAAGGAAATTAATCTCTAGTATATATCTATATAGGAAATAATAGCTAATATTCATACTAAATTATTCTTTGGACCGGCTTTCGAACTATTATAATTAAAACTAGGGCTTATTAGCCTTACTAATATTGAATCTCGACTATAAGAAGAAGGTATATTAAATTAGTACTAGCTTACTAGTTCTTCTAGTACCAGATTTAATTACTAATTTAGTATTCTCTACTTTTATTTATTATATATTACTTGCCAAGCTAACTAAGCTTACTTATATATTATTATTATTATTATTATTATTATTATTATTATTATTATTATTATTATTATTATTATTATTATTATTATTATTATTATTATTATTATTATTATTATTATTATTTATTATTATTATTATTATATTATTATTATTATTATTATTATTATTATTATTATTATTATTTATTATATTATTTATTATTATTATTATTATTATTATTTATTATTATTATTATTATTATTATTATTATTATTATTATTATTATTATTATTATTATTATTATTATTATTATTATTATTATTATTATTATTATTATTATTATTATTATTATTATTATTATTATTATTACTTTTGATTTATTAGCTAATTCATAATATATTAGAAAAAGCAGGCTCGGTATTGTAATACAGGAACAAAGCAATGAAACGATGTGCAAATATCTATAATTCCAATGTCTTACAGAATCTAAAGCTAAGGAGAGAAGGAGAGAAGTGAGGTATGGCAGTGGATAAGTAAGTATGGCCAAGACCACTGAAACGCCGAGCTTGGTTTGAACCATAGCTTGGAACCTTAGCTGAAACCAACCATGTGACGCCCATGTGACACCCATGTAACACCAGCCGTTACAGGCATTATTAATATTGCTAATAAGTAATAGGGATAAAGATCCTTTAGACACTTTCTCCTCTGCTTTTAGACTTCACTCTCTTGTATCTAGTCATTCTAAAAACTGTCAACCTCCAATATATCGATTTTGTACCAATATATTGTTCCCATTTCAATAGATTTTTTCTCGAGATTTCGATAGTATAAGAAAACCGACATTTATAGATTGCTCTAACTATAACACTCCGCCAACGTTGCCGCTTATAAAAACAACTTGAATGCCGGCGAACCTACAAAATGTCAGCCTGAAAGGTCCCAATCTTGTAGCTATAGGCAGGTGCATACGCAGATGTTGCAGCGAAGATCTCTATCCTTCGTGCTTGGGTCACTAGCATCAAAGCAACAGAGAATAAAACGGTGAAGGCGACTGTAATGCCAAGTCGAGCAATAGTATCTGTGACGAAGTAAAGAATAACGAATGACATCACTGGCAAAAGGCATGAGATGATAGTTCCAAGGATATCGGCAATGGTCAGGAGACGGTGGTCTGAATACTCCGTGATTTCGGATTCAGGTTCCTCTGGGTGTGGTTTCTGAGAATTGAACTGAGCTCTCTGTTTAAAAATGAGTACCCTGCGGAAATACGTACTTTCAATCGCTTTCCTATTCTGTTATGAAAATAAGGAACAACGGTATTGATAAGCCATCTTGAGAACGGCTCTCCATTTTCTCTTCGGCGAATAGCAACGAGATCTGTTTCATTCTCTTTGGACCAGGCATGTTGATCGAGACCTCTGAGTGGGAAGTTTCCCATCTTTGGACGCTCCAGCCAATCGCGTAGAAAGTCTAGGTCGTAAGTCTTCGGTCCTTCCAGCCTACTTAATTGGACTTGTTGCAATAGTCGATCATCTATGCAGAATTCAATCAGAAACTAGAAAAACCGACAAAATATCTGAACGTACTATATGCCTTCAGCTTTTCTTGGATCTGCAACATTTTCGACCACTGTCGCTTCTCATTATCATCTTCGGATTCGGCCAGAGACCACCAATCACGAGCGTAGAAGGCGCGGTCCGGGATTCCCTGGTCATCTTCAGCTATGCAATGAAGCTCCGATTCTAAGTGGACAAGTTCCGCTTGCCTGTACAACAAATCCTTCACATTCAATGTATTGAAACGGCGCAAAATTGCAAGATCATGATGCTGAGCCATAATACCAGCGATCTTCTCGTAGCCTTCCATTTCGAACACATGCCTGAGAAACTGAATTTCGACAACATCACTGCTATTTAGAGAATGAAATGTTGTAAGGCTGTCTTGCAGCTCCTGCATACGGCTCGGATTTGGAGGGTCGAGACGCAAGAGAATCGCTGACCGACGTCGGATAGGTGTCGAGACTGGATTGGCTGCATCACTCCATCAGCTGCCCAACGTGACCATCACTACTCGGCGGCGGCTCCTTATAAACTGGGCGTTGACTACCAGTGGCGCAATTAATTGGTAAACACACCATTAGCAAGGAAATTATAGGAAGTCTGACGGCCGTGGTCTCCGAAGCAAGACCCCTCTGCCATGGGTATTCTTCAGATTGGCGCCCGTGATTTATACGGAGAGTGCCCACTTTGGTTGACTCTGAAGATCCTCAGAAGAAATAGGCAGAAGTGAACCAAGTACCAGGTTGATGAATTACCAGCTCTAATTCACGTTACATAGGAACACAGGAGATTTCTAGAATTGTGATTATTTCTAGAAGAGAAGCGTGAAGCTCGTAGAAGCTTGGGAGCGAGGCTAAATACTCCTTAGCGCCATAATTAAGCGAAATGTGTGCCTAACGCTCAAGCGAATTTTCCCCCTCACAACTCTACCTCAAGCACGGCATTTTCGATTTCTTGCAGCACCACTCTGCCTAAGATAGGCTGATAGCGCCCCAATATGTCTTCAAACACCCAAGGAAACAGCGATGCCTACTTCGAGAATTTGCTCAATCGTGAAAGATTCCTGAAAATGTCCGAGGTACTGACGGGGGTGCCAGTGAGCCTCGAATTTGCAGACAAGCTTGGCATGCCTCGACCAGACGCTCACAGTGCTCTTCTTCGCTATGGAAATCTTACTCCGATGGACTATCCAGTCCGTTCTGCGACGGTACAGCCCATGAATAGCCACCAAACTAGTCGTCCGCCTCCTAGGCCGATGGCAACGGCCTGGGCTCCCTCGGAAGTGGTTGGCAGGGAAGTAAGTGCAATTCGCCCCAGAGAATGCTGCGGTTGATACTGAACATCCCAAGAACACGACTATTGACCCTTTGAATGATCCCACCGAAGAATATTTGACCATGCTCTCAGAAGTCGATGATGAACCACTTGAAGTCTGTGCCAAGCTTGACACCGGGACGGATGAAAACTGGATCTCCGAAAGGGTTCGAGAACGGCTGAAGCTGACGACTAGAACTGCAAGCCTGGAGTACTTCACTTTTTCAACAACAAAAACGGTTGTCTCGAATTGTGCAGTATCTATTACTTGGTACGGATTCGGCTTTTTGCAGGCTCGCCAGTCCGACTTTCGTGTTGCGGAGGATGCGTCCTTCGATGTTATTATTGGGAAGAACTTCCTTCTCAAAGAAAATATCGTGACGATCAAGAGCCCGGGGGTGCTTATTTTGGCAAAGAAAGTCAAGACTGAAGGCAAGCTTCTGATTAGCTTGTGTTCCTGAAGCGCGATGAAATCATTACTGATTGCCTTTTTGCTGTAGAGGAGGAGAATATCATAAGAGAGCGTGGAGCTGAAGCAAGAGCAGAGCCAGCTGTCTTGGCCCATCGACAGGAGCTGGCAAAGAATAGCAAGAGCTCAAATACAACTCCGAGAACAAACCCTAGGAAGGACCCGCAGAGGAAAGTTTGATCTCACTCGTTAGCAGGGGCGTTACGGCGTAGGTTTTGAGGCCTATCGTTCGCGGTATGAATAGTTTTGTTAAGAGGTGGCAATACAGAGCACATCCGAATTCCGTTGTGGGCCTAGTACTGTACAGTACGGAAGCTAGAGCTGGTGGAGGCGAGCTATTAGAAGCTTCAGGTGGCGGAAACCTGGTTGGCGTGGTGATGAACTTTGGCGTCTCGATGCATAGATAAGAATAGGCTGTTGAAACACATTCCCGTGTTATCTTCCTGGAATTCCTACGTTCCTCATGGCGATGTGCAGCTTCCGTATGGCAGTAGGCAGTACCTGAAAGAGTGGCTTTCATCCAGTCTTGGAACGCGATCCCCAAAACCTACCAATAAATGATATGTAGATTTAAATTGGTTGACGAAGGAGTTACTGAGCCACAGCCCCCCCAGCAGAGGGAAGGATGCGACGATTGGCGACCGTGCTGACTACTGCATGCAGATAGCGATAGGACACCAGTATGAACCCCTCAGGCACACCATGGGTCGCGACTTTCACCATCATCAAGAACTCTTCCTTCAGGGTTTCCTTCATTGCCATTCGACCTGGATCGATTGATATCGCTGCGGTTAATTATATGAAGTAGTAAAACTTCCCGCCTCGAATCAGACAGTCGTGATCCCAGCAGGTTCCCGTCTTCGCCAACCGCGAACCTACTAGCTAGAATACCCAACAGCCTCCTGCATTCATGCATCTAGAGGTCATGGTACCGTATGATGGAACGGGAACGGTTGGAACCCCTCGATTATACAGTCATCCAACTAGCAGCGAACGAATCTTGGTTGCCCACTGACAGCTGGCCCGATTTGAGGGGATACTTGATTGGCAAAGATTTCGACCCAAAGAAGATAGAAAGCAGCAAGCTTCGACTTATGCGCTTATTGTCTGATGCTCAAAGTCTACCCCCATCACCTCCGCACGCCAATGGATTTGATTTAGGCCCCAATGCTAAGAGCTTACAGAGAGACTCGGAAACTGACCAGGTAAGCAACATCGGCTCCTTCTCCATGGATCATCGGTCGATAACATATTCCGTTTTTAGCCAGAACGTCCAGATCATGTACACCTTACGTTCGAGGAGCTAGACGATCCAAAGCCCGTATATACCGGTTGCCGTTACCGCAAGGATACGGAAAAGGAGAGCCTGATTTGCGAAAATACTGTCAAGCGCCTGAGAGCCACAGGAGTCTTAGGAGGAAGAAAGACTATTAAGTTAGCATGGCGCGCTCGCTTTGGGGTCAAGACACGTCAGAAGACCTTCCGCATCGTTAGCAAAGGCGTTCTTGAATCAGATATATTATTTGGGGAGGATTGGCTGGAGGAAGACGACGAAGAGGATGTGTATGAGAAGTCTGAGAGGCCAAACAAGAGGAGACGAATTGAGCGTAAGGGTTCTCCTCATAATGGATAAGCAGAGAGTCTTAAATGCTAACATTCTTCAGCGGTGGACCGTCAAGGGGATATGACTCTCACGACATCCTCAAACAGCAAATCAGCAAGTGACCGAGCAGCGATGGCGTTCGCGTCCGAGTCGGCTTTGGAATATGCGCGACAGTCAGGTCCATTCAATCCATGTCTTATTCCAACACAGTCAAAAGTTGTTTTCGAAGCTGGAAGTAGCAATGCCAGTCAACTAGGAATGGACGCTGACTCACAAGAGATCGATGATCAGAGGGGTCCACAAGAGAACGAAGACCATGGATGACCGATAGTTGGTAAACTTACTTTGAAAACTCCTCTTTAGTGCTACTCCGATGACTCCCGACTCGGACGCCTACCCGCGTGCAACCAAGACCATTTTCGCAACACTCGAAGCATGCATGAAGCAAGATAGAAATTAAACTGGGCTCACATTTTGGGGAAAGAAAAGGTTAACCATCAACTTTCAGGAGGGCAGGCAGATCATCAATATAGAAGACAAGATTTGAAGGGTATCTATATCGGATCACAGAGTCCACGGCACCTTGGCGAGATGAGGTCACAGGGAGGTATTTTCGTGCACGCTTTGAATCTCTGGTTCGGAATGTAGCGTACTGCAGCAATTGAATGTAGGGCTAGCCTGAACACACGTTGTGATAGGCACTCATGATATTGATAGCTCTTCAAATGCTTCTAGCTGTTGTCACAATTTGCTGGCAATCGTCCATTCGATGGGTCGTGGTCACTACCCACTTACCTGCTTTACCGCCTGCAGAATTAGATTGGGTTGGGCAATCATCCCCGTGGCAGACGAGGCTTGTGACCTCACCAAGTGACCTGTGGTTTTCACTTACGAAGGTAAGTAGGACAGTGGTCGCGGATGCTAGCTGGTATCACGTGATCATTTCCGTATTGGGCATCCGTCGGCAAAAATGATGCCTAAACCCCTCGCTCACGAGACGTCAAGTTCAAACTGACAAATAGGGAGAGAACTAATCGAAAATTCCCCTTTCCCTCTTACTCTGAAGATTTCAACACGGAGAAAGTCCTAGTTCCTTTCTGTCGAGCGTCTCCTCCCTTACGTCGTTCAGCAGATCTTATATTGACTTTTTGGGTAGGATATTTCATACCATTGGGGTGCATTTAAATCGAACCAATCTGCGAATATTACGTCGAGCATGTATCCTGAGAAGAGTCTGGTTGATGTAACTTGCAAATGATTAACAACAATCTCTGGTAACAAAGAGTCAAAGCTCCGCCGCTGTGCTTGTGGCGCTGTTGACGAAATTGATGTTCCTCCAGGTAATTCCAAGAACGCCATTCGTCCCGATGCTCATTGGTATAGATGCGGCGATGTTGGATAATATGGTGACTTGATTTTTCGCGTAGTTGGTGGGCGTCGGGGAATCTCCAATAATGGTGACCGCCGCAGTACCGACCACCTGAGAATTTCGAGTTAACATTGCTCTTTTTAGGAAGTTTCCATGCAGAGGAGTGCTTGAGACATTCTGAAAGGGGGCTATGTGAAGTTGCCACATCTTGCGAGACATCCAATGACGGAAAGAGGAACGAGATAATATGCATACCGTAACAGTTTCATTATATGTGCCCGCTCTGACTATCACTATTGGTTGTGCGAACGGCTGCGCATAGGAGATGGCTGGGCTGATGGCTGTAAATTGGCCACCTCCAGCAGCATCAACTATGATGGTTCCTAATTGGAGTGAGTATAACCCCGTGATTCAGAGAATGGTGTTTTACCTGAAGCTACTGGTGCAGAGCTCGTCGTGGATGCTGATTGTGACGGGCCCAATCTATATGTACTGCTGGAGACTGTCGAGGAGCTTCCCACAGAAGTTGTTGAAATAGCCTGAGCCTCGCCAGCAGTCGCGAACTGCAAAGCAGCAAGCACTCCGAACAACGCTCTTATCGACGCCATGGCGGTATTGGGATGTCGAGTGTTGGTTGTATTATCGGACTGATCAAAATCAACGAACTCAATCTCGAGACGCAGATTTCAGCCCCATCTTATTCAACGAAGTCAGGAACTCGTCCCGCGTGAGCGAGTTCGGCATTGTGAAGCCATTGTTCAATCATGGCCGAGAGCCATGACGGGTCGGAGGTATCTAGGAGCAAAGAGCCGTGACTTCCATGACACTTCATAATCCATGGGGTTTTGGGGAACGGAGCAGGCCCTCAATGGTGGCAAATGCGAAAAGATCTTCCATTTGATTGGTAAAGCGGGACGATGAAAGCTTAATTGCGGAGGATGGACTGAATTTGGATATTAACCCCACCGAGGAAGCCATTTTCAATACTATTGATCTTCACCCATATGGCCGTACGGACAGAAAGTAAAGAGGGTGGACACATCGGATTGGACGCCTGTAAGTAGATCATATGTAACCCCTTAGTTTCCTAGGTAATTCGGGTTGCTAAGGGAAAATAGGAGGCTCTGATTGGCTAGAATTAAAGTGATTTAAGCTAATTAAAGGTTTATATAGCAACTAAATACTAGAATATACCCCAAATCAAGGATAAAAAAGCCACCAAATACTAGTTCTACCCCCCTACTACCTTATATGCCCTCCCTAAGCTTTAATAACCCCTTCTATATAATCAAGTATTAATTAATAATCTAATTAATATTATACTAAGGGATTTTAGCCCACTTTTGCTCTATAAAGGCTATTAGATTAGCTATATTCTACCCTTTCCTCCTTAGACGCTTCCGTATAATAGCCTTGAGAATTAACTATATATACTTAATAGGATTAAGATTAGGGGAGTTAGAAGGCCAGTTAATAAAGGGTATATTAGCTTGCTTAATTCAGGCAGAGGTAAGCTTAGATATATAGGGTCTAGTATTATCTTACTAGTAGAAGACTAGTTACTAGTTCTAGTTATAGTTCTTCTCAGGAAGCTTTATACTTTTCTAGAAATCGTAGAATATAGAGAAAATATAGTTAATATAAGCTTGGCTATCTATATTTCCCTTGAAATTGCCTATTATATAGTAATTAAAATTAATTAGCTCTGTTTTCCTACTATAGGTAATTACTACCTATACTATTATTCCCTCTAGTTTCTTAAATTTGGGCTAAAAGCACTTATCCAGATACTTCTTACTAGTTTTACAAGTTATATAGAAAGATATATTACTATTCTATATAATAGCTTTATTAGAAAAGATTATCCGTTTCTACTTCTTTCTCTAGTATTAATATTTCAAAGCGAATTCTAGTTATTTAAGCTTCTAAATAGAAGAGAAGTAAGGCTTTATATAAGCAATATAGTAGCTATATCCTTTAGAATAAAGAATTCTCTATACTATATATTCAGAAATTAAAAGGCCAAAATATTCAGGAATCTCTTCAAATACTATTTAATAAGTAAAGGCCCTACTAGTAGTAATAAAGTCAAGAACCTGGAATTTGATTAGGTAATTATTATATCTATAGAACTAATATATATACCGGAAAATAAAGAAGTAAGTTAGAATATACTAAACTATAGACCGGAAGAGCGAAAAAAGTCTTACTAGCTTGCAAATCGAATAATTACTAAGCCGGTAAAGAGTATAAATCTCAATACAAGTTTTATAGCTTATATATTTAGCTTACTAGAAACTAGAGGGGCTAATAGAAGAATAATTAGGGCCTTAATTAGCTGATTTAGTAATAGGAAGCCTATTATAGCAAACTAGGCCAGTTTTGTTCTGGAAAATAAGCTTCTCCTATATACTAGCTTTAGTAGCCTTAGTTAAAATAGTAGTATAGGAGGGAAACTATAATAAGACAAAAACCCATATAAAGTATACTAGAGTATAAAACGTGACTTAATAGCAAAATAATAAATTAAAAGTATAAATAGTAAAGTATAAATAGTATATAGTATATAAAAGCTTAATTAATTAAATATATATAAAGGATTCTTATCTAAATCTATAGAAAAACTAGCTTTCTTATATGATTTCTGCAAGTTATATATAAAAGGCTGCGGCCTTTACTATATAACCTAAATCTCAAAACCGCTAAAATAATACGATTTTTAATAAGTATAGCCTGCCGTATTATATTTGACTTCCTATTTATTTATATTTATTCCCTAAATATCAAAAATAATAGAAAAATCCTATTTAGAATCTGAAATAATAAAATATTCAGGATTCTCCTCTATTAATTAATCCAATTTCTTCTCTATATATCTAAAATAAGACTTATTACCCTTAAATAGTCTTATTTCGTATTCCCGAATTTGTTTAAAGGCAATCCGAACCTGCTTAGCTATATTCTTATACTAATTCCGATATAGTTCTCTATATTAATTAATATCTGCCTTTAACTATTACTTAATTTCTGCCTTTACTATAGAATATTAAGAAAACTTATTATAGCGAATTATATTATAAATTATACTAATATACTCTAAATAGATAACTCCTTCGAATTTCGTATTATCTATAGTATTCTTAAATTAACTTTTAATAGAAGGGGAAAGCTCTAGATAAGAGGCTTTAATAACTTTATAGGAAACTTCATTTTTATATATTCTATTCTTAATAGTAACTAGGCTTATAGAAACTATAGTAAAAGGCCTATTAAGTAGCAAATTATTATTAAGCTATTCTTTAACTTATATATTATTCGAGAATTAATACTTTCCTATAATTCCAGACTTATAGATTATCTAGCTAAAGGTATTTATTTATCTAGTTAAATAGACTATATTCGGAATCTTTCCTCCTACTACCTTTAGTAAATACTTGCCTAATTCCTTAGCTGCTTCCGGCTCAAATTTATTAGAAATAGAGGAATAATTAACGTTTTTAAAGAACTTCTTACTAAAGGTAGTAGCCTTCTTATAGTCTATAAGAAAAATATAACTAATATTCCGATATTCTTTACTAAGGTAGAATTTGCTATTTAAAGCTTTAGTAGTAGCTAGATCTTTAGTATTGCCTTTATACTAATTATAATTAATATTTCTAGAAGTAAAGTATTAGACTAGCTAAAAGTAAATAACTAGGTAAATAGAATACTTGTTTAATATCTTATGAAATCCGAGCTATATTAATAGATCTGCTATTAAAAGTTAAGAGACTAAGGTAAAGTAGCTATTACTAAGATCTTTATATATTAATATATTATCTTTTTGGAAATAGAACTATAATATCTCTATTTTCTCTATTAAGAGTTCTCGAATACTAAGCTTCTTAATCTACTTTAGGTAATTCTTCTTATAAATATAGCTATTTATACCCAAATTAGTAGTACTAGACTTAGAAATAGGGACTATAGTATTAAATTAGAACTATAGATTAGGGCAGAATTAATCGGAAATATAGTATTTATATTTATATTTCTTAATCTCCTAGCTTTTAAAAAAGAAATCTCGTATTTTCTTATTTACTCAAGTAATAGAAATATACTTCTTGCCTTTAGTAACTTTATAGATCTTAGTAATTACCTTTAGAATATTCTTAATCTCTTATATATTAATAGAGAGAATATTAGTAAGTTACTAAGTATATACTATATAGGGAGTTTTAAGAAATCCATTATTAATCCTATAATATTCTTACTTAAAGATAGGTCCTATAATATTGCTATATATTTCCTTAAAGATATATTTATCCTACTAAACAAGTATTAATTTCCATTTAGCTAATATTTTATAGGTATACTAAATGCCTTTATTAAATTCTCCGGACTTAATATTTCTAGTCTTTTACTTCTTGGTTCTGGATATAGTTAAGGGAGTCTTTTTAGACTATATCTTTCCCTTTAGTATAGAGGGCTTCTTTTTGCTTTCTGTTATTTTACTAACTTTATATTTAGTCTAGTACTTAGATTTCTGCTATTTATTAGAAGTTTTAGGTTTAGCTTATTTTCTATTCTTACTAGGTTCTTTTTATCTAGTTATACCAGTTCTACTAGTCTTACTAGCTCTACTAGCTTTACTAGTAGTCTTTTTACTAGGCTCTACCAAA